AGGAAGCCTGCTTCTCCCTTTCCCACTCCCCCTGCTTGTATTCTCTCTCTCACAGTGTCTCCCTCTGTTAAATAAATAAATAAAACCTTAAAAAAAAAAAAAGAAACCAAGTCTGAGCATTAACTGTGTTGATACATGAGATGAGGGATCAGTATTAGGAAATACAGTATAAACACATATAGCATAAAAATACTAATGCTAATAATAGTATTAGAAGTATCATTGTAAATAAATACACACACAAACACACATTGCATATACATACATACTAATACCTTCAATTCCAACCCAATACCATGTCACAGGGCTTTTTTTTTTTTTTCTGATTTGCATTTCCCTGATGATTAATGACTTTGAGCATTTTTATGTATATACATTTTTATGTATCTGTTGGCTATTCTTACATCTTCTTTCAAAAGATTTCTCTTCAGGTCTTTTGCCATGGCTCACTCTTGAACTATTACATGCTTAGGTGAAAATCCAAGGTATCCAGGGGCAAAACAACAGCTAGAGAGTTGAAAGAGCCAAGCAGATACTTCAGTTATTGTCTACCACAGTGGAGAGAGATTTAACCTATAAAAGCTTACTTGGTTTAAGTAAGAGGAAAAGCTCTAAGTCTGATGAATAGCTCTAACTTGAATCATCACAATATAGAGACGTGGTTCATCAACCAGTTTCCAGATTTGAGCTAGTTCTCAAACTTAGAGCCTTTAGATAAAAGATGGCCTTTGAGGAAGGGCCCAGCTGTTCTGCTAAAAATTTACATTACAAATTTTATTACATAGAAAATCTTCCTCCTACACTTCCTCCCAAATATTTGCAGCCATTAGCCAGTGTGAGAGTACATTGGGCTAAGGCAAATAACCAGATTTAAAAAACAGATTACCAGATACTGGCTATGAACTGCCACTAATTCCTGGAGAGCTAAAAGTCACAGTGGTCCCCTAGTCAAAATAGGGGCCTATGGAAGTAAGGTCATTAATGTAGTTTTAGACTGGTTCATCTCAGTTAGCCCAGTGGGTTCCAAACCAAACCCATGGTTATTTCCTCCAGTCCTAGGAAGCATAATTGGAGTAGGCATACTTAGCAAAGGGCAAAATCTCCACATTGGTTCCCTAACCCATGGGATGAGGGCTATTATGTTAGCAAAAACGAAGTGGAAGCCACTAGAACTGCTTTCCCCACCCAAAATAATAAACCAAAAGCAATACACATAGAGAGAGATTAGAGATTAATGCCACTTGAAGGATTCAGGAGTGGTAATTCTTGCCACATCTCTTTTCAAGTTGCCTATTTGGCCTGTGCAGAGGAAGATAAAACTTAGAAAATGGAAATGGATTGTTTTAAACTATTTAATCAGGTACTCCCTCTAATTATAGCTACTGTTCCTGGTGTTGCTTCATTGGTGGAGCAAATCAGTGCTTTCTCTTGTATATGCTATCCACCTATTCCTCCAGCAAATAATTTTTTTCTTTATTCCTGTTAGTGTGGACCACAACACGCAGTTTTATTTCATCTCTAAAGATCAGCACTAACTTCGCTGTTCTACTGCAGGGTTAGATTATCTCTCTAGCTCTCTGTCATAATTTAGTTTAAATGGGCCTTAATCTTCATTCCACACAAATGGACACCAGAAGACATTTGTGATATCATGCTAGCTGGACATGGTAAACAAGCATTAGTAACTACCCTAGATAATATGGTTAGATAAATGCAAGCCAGGGGGTGGAAATAAATTCTACAAAATTCAAGGGTCTGTTGCCTCAGGAAAATTACTACAAATCCAGTGGTCTGGAGCATGTCTGGATACCCTTCTAAGGTGAAAGACTAGTTGCTGCATCTGATACCTCCAACCACCAAGAAAGAGGCACAATGTATAGTGGACTCCTTTGGATATTGGAGATAACATATACTTCAATTGGATGTGCTACTTGGACCCACTCACTGAGGAACCTGAAAGAGGTTCCAGTTCTGAGTATGGTCTGGAAGAATAGAAAGCTCTGCAACAGATTCAGGCTACTAAGTTAGTTCTGCCACATAGCAGATCCATGCTATGTGAAGTATTTGTAGCAAATAGATATACTCCATGGAGACTTTATCACGCAACTCTAGGTTAATGAAAGTCTATAGGATTCTAAACAAAGCTATGTTATCACCCGCCAATTATTCTTCTTTGGAAACATCCTCTGGTTTACTATTAGACTAGTAGGGACTTAACATGTGACTATGGCCACCAACTTACCTTTGAGTTCAACTGTTCACCATGAAATGGTGTTGTCTGATTTGCTAACACATAAAGTTAGGCATGTAGATCTGTACTCAATTACAAATGGCATTAGGTTATATAAAATTGAATTTGAGCAGATTCTTTTTTTTTTTTTTGAATTTGAGCAGATTCTTAAACCACAAAGAAATTGCATGAGAAAATGATTGAGATACCCATGGCTCTTACTCCTGCTACATGGTCTCTCTCTCACCATATAACTATGGCATCAAGTAGAGTTACTTGTCAACAGTTGACTAAGAAAATACTTGATCCTGACTTTCAGACAGTTCTACATGATATGCCAGCATCATCTCAGAGTTCACACCTAAAGTAAGAGAGCCCTGCTCATGTATGGCCTTGGTAGGCAGTGGTGAAAGTCTCAGTAGGCATAACTTTGAGCAGTGACCTAGCTGTATAGCCTGGAAGAATAAACTTTCAGAGGTATAGATTTTTGTTGATTCATTGGCAGTAGGTAATGGTTTGGCTGAGTGGTTGGAGACTTGTAAGGAATACAATTGGAAAATTAGTGACAAGGAGTCTAGGAATGATGTATGTAGGTAAATTTCCTGATGGAGAATGGACACAGAATATGAATATAAATGAGTCTTAAGTAAATGTTACCCAAAGAGCAATATCAGAAGAAATTTAATAATTAAGTGGACAAGATGATCCACTCCATGGACGTCAGCCTCTTTCAAAAGTCATCCTTGCTACTGCTATGAATAATAAACCGTCCTTTGTCACTGTAAAACCACTGAGGGCTAACTTGTCAGAGGGCACGAATGGTGAAATCTTAGATCCTTTACAGTTCTTGAAAATAAGATTATTTTAGACTGCTGTAATTTCATATACTCATCAGTCTTTTCAAAGAGAACAATTATATAGCTATGATATAGAATAACATTTTTTTTTTTTTTTAAGATTTTATTTATTTATTTGTCAGAGAGAGAGAGGGAGAGAGAGCAAGCACAGGCAGACAGAATGGCAGGCAGAGGCAGAGGGAGAAGCAGGCTCCCTGACGAGCAAGGAGCCCGATGTGGGACTCGATCCCAGGATGCTGGGATCATGACCTGAGCCGAAGGCAGCTGCTTAACCAACTGAGCCACCCAGGCGTCCCTAGAATAACATTTTAATAAACAAGTAAATGTGTTAGGTTTTGAGAAAAAAGTTCAATCTATTCATTCATAATATAACAATTATTTTATATGCATAGATCTCTTTATTTCTCATTTGTAATGACAAGAATTTGGTTAGGATGCTTTGTTCATAGTAACAGAAACAGAACTCTTTTTACTTTATGCAAAAAGGACTATTTATTATAAAATTACAAGGGTACCTTACCAAAGCCCAGAACAACAGTTAAAAACAGGACATTAATAAATATCAAATCTTGCTAGCTTAAGCAAACAGGGGAACTTATTATTAGGATACCAGACTGCCATACCAAGCCAAGGGCAGCTTCATGAAGGGCTGGAATAAGGAAATGGAGAACTATTAGAAAGCAGGAATCACATTCACCTTATCTTTCATCTCTGCTTTTTACTTTGCAAGTGCTTCACTGCTCTCTCACTGCAGATTTACTATTTTTCCTTCCCAAACATAGCCCATAGCTCCCCAGGTTGTTTCCGCTATTCCAGAGACTAATCAGATCAAAGCTAGACTCTCTTATCTCCAATCCCAAATTCCTAGAAAAGATTTAACATCTTACCAAAATTAGAGATAACTTCTCTGGGATAGGTAGTAAGATATAAGTTGGTGAGACACCAAGAGACAGAGAACAATTTATATATATGCTGTTCCTTACAGACCCTGAGTTCAAATAGCTTACTTAAATGTAGGGGTGGACATTAGAGAGATGTTCTCACAACCAGTAACTAGTAGAAACGATGAGGTGTTCAGGAGAGAGAGGTATTCTAATCCTTTTTACTATTTCCCATGGGACAGAATCAATAGACATGGACAACGCTACTTTTAATTGAGAGAAGTTTCTTTTCATTTATTGTAATAGGTATGATTTATCTCTTGGGAAGATATGCACAAGTGTAGGTGAGTAACTTAAGCACAAAAGTTAATATTATATTTAGTCATCTTCCAAAAAAGAAAGAAGAAAAGGAGAGAGAGAGAGAGAGAGAGAGAGAGAGAAGGAAGGGTGGAAGGAAGGAAGGAAGGAAGGAAGGAGGGAACTGATTATATGGAGACTATTTAGGAGAAAGGGAAAAAAGATTAATTACATGGTGGATGATTTCAGAAATCCCTCAGGACTAAACATAGAAATCTGACTAAGGGTCTTTCAGATTATTGTCATTAAGAGGTTTTGGAAAACTCATCAAACTCAGTAAATTTTCTGCATTACCCACTTAGAATTATTCCTAATAAAATGATAAAGATATATTTAAAAAAAAAAGAAGGATCTCTCAGATTAGTGAGAACTCTGATTCATCTAGCTTGAATCAGCGGTTTAGGAAAATAGCTGGCCACATTTCCATCATAGTGGAGTAAGGATTGGGAAACCATTCTGAGAAACAGACATAGGAAGGGGCAAAGAAAATTATTTTCTGGATTCTTCAGTTTCCAGGCTTCCATAGAAGAGCAAAATTATATTGTTTACCAAAATCATGACAAAATAAAATTTGAATGTTAAGAGATTTATGTATTTAAAATTCAGAAAAGCTGATGGAAGTATTCTGCCCAGCCCTACCCACATGGAAGTAAAATTGAAAATGTCAAAAGTATAAGGAAATGTTGTGAATGTTTTATTCAAAAATCTATTTATGCTGAAGATTTTTTAAAGTATTTCTCTTGTATGTTGAAATACATTCATATTATTTATTATGTCCTTTGATGAAATACAAGGAGTTAAACTTTATATTCATAATGTCACTCTACTGCTTCCTGTAATTTTGTTTCTAGAAATAAGAAATGGCAAGGGAAGTAGGACCACTCTAAGGTAAAGAACAAGTAATATTAGTATGGACATGTTAAGAGACTCAGAAGCTGGTGATTCAGTTTTAACTTTCCATGATTTCAGTGTATACAATGTTTCAAAAGAAAAAAAAGTCATTCAATATTATGTTGAAGGTTTTGTATTTCAACCTCTGCATTTCTTCGTGAAAATATTTCCTTAATGCTGTCATCTTTCTGATCATCATAAAGTGCCATATTCAGTACATTTTCAGTACAGTCTTCCAAGGAAATTGTTGACAGGTATGAAAATACTTTTTCCAGTAGAGGTTCCCTGAGAAAAGGCATTGGAGAGCTCTTTTTTGCTAGAATATCATCAGAAAACAAGTCATCAGCTGCTTCTATACTTTGGCTGTAATAAGAATCAGATGGTAGTGTTGATAAGGTTAAGGTAACACTGCTGGGATGTGTTGCCAAGCTAGTCTCTGAGGGGTCACAAATGACCTTTTGTTTTGCAAGGCAGAATTCGTCTTTAGAGTGATCATTAATTACTGTAAAAGAAAATTAGATATACTATGAATACTATACATTCATGACCTGAATCTTACTTATAAAGGCGATATTTCTTTTTAAAATTCAGACTCTTTTTTGAGTTAAAATGGACAGAAGGATGCAATAGTGAAAATTCTAAGTTGCTATCATCATCTGTACAATGTTAAGTATGTAATTGGGGATTAACAACTTCATTACAATCAAGAATAGAAAAGGCTGTTCTAAAGAAAATCAACCCGTTTTAATAGGAGAAGATTCTAAATAGGCTAGAAAGCTCAGTTCTGGAATATTGTAAGCAGGTAGATTACAAAATGTTTGGTCCACAGTGGAAAGGGCCTATGGGTTGCCTTGACACCAATTAAAGTAACTACTAACATTCTTAGAGTGCCTTATAATATGTGAAGCAGTTTGATATATTTCCATATATCATTTATCCTTTCAATAATTTTTCAAGTAAGGTATTATTAGAACCATTTCACAAAAGAGAAGACTGAGATTTAGAGACTGATGACTCACCAAAGATCAGAGACACAACAGACTTCACCTAGACTTCTAGTACTCTAAGATTCATGCTTCTTCAATTATTACATTATTTATAATGCACAGTTGATATTTAAAAATGTTAAGATTTAGAAAATATACTACATAATATATAGTATATATATACTTAGGATTAAGTATCTTCTATAATATTTTACATACTGAACTTTGATATTAATGTATAACATTAATTTTTAAAGCTGTTTTAAATATCTTATTACATTTTGTATATCCAACATTTCTTACATAGGAGGATAATATTTTGAGGTAGTAAGACATAATATACAATATCTAGAGGATTATAAAATACTCATGTCTTTTGACCCTCCAGGATAACTATATGGCATTGACTATGACACTTTTTTTTTTTAACCTTAGGGATGGTTGGGGGATGAATGGAGACAATCTGAAATAGGCTACATGCCCAGCATGGAGCTCTACGCCAGGCTCGATCTCACAACCCTGAAATCATGACCTGAGCAGAAATCAAGAATTGGACAGTTAACCCAATGAACCACCAAGATGCTCCTGACTATGATGCTTTTGGGTATAAATAAGGAACAAAAATTTGAATTTCACATTTTAATTTAAGATGTGACATTGTAAGTTTTGTTTTTTAAGGAATATATGCCCACTCACATACTAATACATTAATGTTTCCCTTGAATTTCCATGGTATTAAAACAATATTTAGATAACATTTAGGTAGGCCTCTTGGTTCTTTAAAAATTGCTATAATTATATATAATTATGGTTTCTTCTAACAAATTGTTGAGAAAATTTACCTTTTATATGTGCTGTTTCCTTTTTTCTTTGCTCCTCCTACATAAAAAAAGTTATTCATATTTAAAAAACTGAATGGTTTCTCTATAATTTCTTTAATATATTTAACATATATTTATATGAGAATAATATATTTTAACTTCATAATAAGGTTTTGATTGAATTTTTTTCCACAATATGAGTTTATATCATCAAAATATACTGACAGAAAAAAAAAGTGTTTAGGTATCATCTGGAGAGAACGTGAACTGGTTCAAGAAGGCAATCTCAGGATTAGGAATGAAGGGGTGAAATAGAGTTCATCAGGATTATTTCTTCCCCTCCTCACTAACTCAGAGTCATTAGAACTAGAGAGGTCTAAAAAAGTAATTGGAATTCTTAGACTTAGTCATTTCATTAACCAACAACAAAAACATGAATTCATGTGCTATTCTTTTGAAGCAAATAAAACAGTTGCTCAAACAATATATTCTAAGATGTATTCTGGAAAGTGTAGTGGTATAGTAGTTCTCAAACTCCAGGGCATCAGAATCACCTGGTGTGCCTATTAAAATGCTGATACTTGGACATAATATCAGACCCTACTAAAACACATTCTCTGGGAGGAGATTGGGAGTATCCATTGTAACACTCTGCAAGTGGTTCTGATTCAGGTTTTTCTTAGACCACTAGATAAACAGTGGGCTACTGCATAGGGTGTTTGGGATGGAGTGGGTAAAGATGAGGCAGGAGAGAACATTGCTTTCTTGTGTTTTAGGGGAACAGTGTTAGTACTCCATGCTGATCTGCATTGTCCTATCCCCCAAAATGGTTTCTTAGGATATATATATACACACACTCACACGCACACACACACACATACTATACATTATATAGTATGTGTGTGTGTGTGCGTGCGTGTGTGTGTATATATATATATAAAATATATATATTTCATATATGTCTTATATGTATATAGGATAACACCTAAGCACTTTTTTTGCAATCAACTTTACTTATTTGTTCTGTTTACCTTTTATTAATATAAATGTCAGTATAGGCTCCTGACTTACCTTGCCTAGACTTAGGACCAATTCAGTTTGTGACTCCTATATAAATTATATCAGAATGCTGCCCCTCAGACTTTTATGTGCCTATGTTTTACCTGGTGAGTTTGTTCAAATGCAGATTATGACCCAGTAGGTCTGGAGTGGGGTCTGAGACTGTGCATTTCTAACAGATGCGCCTAGGTAATAACAATATTGCTGGTCTGGGGACCACAGAATAAGGACCTAGACTGATTGAAATTCCACCCAAATTTAAGGGAATTGCAAAATGGACATTCTTACATATTGCTGCCTATAAATAGGTAGAATTTTTCTGGAAGGCCATATAACAAATCTACTTCTAGAAATGTATTATGCCAGGTTAATAATTTTGGATTTATGTAAATATTCAGTTACCAGAATGTTCTTTACAACAATCTTAAGCATTTCTTAAATCTGTAATTTAAAATTCTAAAAGAAATACTTAAATGTATTATGATACATAGATAATAAAATAATCAATATTCTTCCAACTATTAAAAATTATGCTATAGTTCAGAAGTAAGGGCTCAAAAAATGACAGGGATATATAAAAAAGGGAAACAACCTTGGGGGTTCTCACTGGTTAAATCTGGAAAAAACTGAGCATCAAAATAAGTACAGTAATGGATTACCGTCTGCTGAATAACACAGAAACCCATGAGTCTACACAGATAATAAAGACAGAGAATTTTTTTCTTATAGTAGAAAGCCCAATGGAAGATGGAAGTAGTATCATAAGAAAAACATTATTTTGCTACAGCTTTGTAAAGCAAGGTTCAGGTAAGAACCTTACCTTGGTTCAGGTAAGCAGAGGAACTCTACTTACCACCTGTCTACTTGGTAAGTAGAGTCTGATGAAGAAAGAGAATTTCATGGTTACATGGTTCAAGATTATTTAATTGCTAGGGTAAAAACAGGAATAATACAATGGGTGAAGAACAGACATCATCCTGATGGTGTGATCAACTAAAATCATTAGTGAAAAGCAGATGAACATTGTATGTCTTCATATGTGATAAAATGAATCTGATCACAAGGAAAGTCAAAATCAATCTTATGATCTATAAAGTAACTGACTGCATTCTTCAAAAATGTCAATATCCTGGAAGACAACAAAAGGACACTTTTAAAATATTTTGAACTGAATAATGATGAAAACAAAACAAAAATTTGTGGGATGCAGCAAAAGCATTGCTTAGAAGAAAATTTAAATATTAGATGTTTACATAAAAGAAGTCTAAGGATAATAAATTGAATATACCTAGCAAGACTGATTTAGAAAAAGAGAGATAAATCAGGAATGAAAAGTGTACCATCACTAAAGATTCTACAGATATTAAAAGGAAAATAACTGGATACTATTAAAACTTTATGCCAATAAACTTAACAATTTAGATCAAATGGACAAATTCATTGAAAAACAAATTTCTAAAGCATACAAAATAAAACACTTAAATAGCCCCATATCTATTTTTTTTTTAAAGATTTTATTTATTTGTCAGAGAGAGAGAGGGAGAGAGAGTGAGCACAGGCAGACAGAATGGCAGGCAGAGGCAGAGGGAGAAGCAGGCTCCCCGCCAAGCAAGGAGCCCGATGCGGGACTTGATCCCAGGACGCTGGAATCATGACCTGAGCCGAAGGCAGCTGCTTAACCAACTGAGCCACCCAGGCGTCCCGCCCCATATCTATTAAAGGTCCTATATTTATAGTCAAAAACTTTCTCTGGAAGAAAACTCTAGACCTACGTGACCTCATTGCTGAATTCTAGGAAAACCTTTGAGAAAGCAGTATTGCCAATTATACACAAAAATTTTTCAAAAAGTAGAGGAGCAGGAGACATTTCATAGTTTTCTGACCAGAATAACTATGATTTTAAAATCTAAAAACAAAGAGGGGCATCTTGGTGGTTCAGGCTGTTAGGTGTCTGTTTTCGGCTCAGGTCATGGTCCCAGGGTCCTGGGATTCAGCCCAGCACCAGGCTCCCTGAGCCTGCTTCTCCCTCTGTCCCTCCCACTGCTCCTGTTTTTTTTCTCTCTCTCTCAAATAAAGAAATAAATAAAATCTTTTTAAAAATCTAATAAAGATATTACAAGATAAGAAAATTATAGAATAATATTCCTCATATACATAGATGTAAAAGTGATTTAAAAATATATCAGTAAATTGGGGTTTATTCCAGGAATATTCCAGGAATACAAGGTTGATTTAACATTTGAAATTCAATGTAATTCACAATATCAAAAGAGAAAATCTATGTGAACAATGTCAAAAGATGCAGAAAAACCATTTGGCAAAATTGAGCAAACTTCATGACTAAAAAAAACAGAAACAACAAACTTTCATTAGACTAAGAATAGAAGGGAATTTCCTTGACCTGACAATATGCATCTACAAAAATTTCATAGTTAACTTTACACTTACTGGTAAAGAGTTGAATGTATTCTGAGATCAGGGATATAAAAAGGATAACTGTTCCTGACACTTCTATTTATCATTACTACATGAGGTCTTACCCAGTACAAGATGAAAAATAAAAATAAAAGCATAAAGATTAGAAAATAAGTAAAGTTGATGTTTTTCACAGATGATATGATTGTGCTGAAGAAAACCTATGGAGTCCACACACACACACAAAAATTACTAAAAGTAATAAGTAAATTTATTTATAAAAGTCACAGAAGACAGGTCAATATAAGTATCAATTGTAGTAAAGATGGCAATTTGCTTCAAACTAATCTATAAACTAAATGTAATTTCCATTACAATCTCAAAAAGGTATTTTGTAGTTAGGGATTAATTTATCTTAAAATTTATATGAACAGGCAAAAAACCAAGAAAATCTAAAAAAAACATTGAAAAAGAACAATGAAATTGGAGGAACCATATGGTCCAATTTTATGACCTACTATGTAGCTAGAGTGTGGTTTTGATAGAAATAGACACACAGGTCAACAGTATAGACAGAGAATCCAGAAATAGACCCACATGTATTTGCTCAACAGATTTTTGATAAAAGTTGCAAAAGCAATTCAATGTAAAAAGGATAGTCTTTCCAATAAATAGTGCTGGAACAATTAGACATCAGGAGCTCCCAAAATGAATTTTGACCTAAACCTCACACCTTATTAAAAAAATTAACTAAAAGTGGATCAAAGATAGAAATATAAAATGTAACACTTAATAGCAAAAACAATCCTAAAAAAAAAGTTGGAGAACTTCCTGAAATTAAAACTTACTTCAAAGCTATAATAATTAAGATGTGGAACTGATATAAGGATAGATATATAGATCAATGGAATAGAACTGACATTCCAGAAGTAAATGTTCACATTTATAGCAAATTGATTTTTGACAAGTGTTTGAAGACAATCATTGGGGAGAGATAGTCTTTTCAACAAATAGTGTTGGGACAAGATATGTACATGTAAATGAATGAAGTTGGGCCCATACCTCACACCATATCAAAAACTAACTCAAAATAGATCAAACACTTAAATATAAGAGCTAAAACTATTAAAGCTCTTAGAAGAAAATATAGGCATAAATCTTTACACCTTAGATTAGAAAAAGGTTTTATATATGACTTTGAAGCTTTTAATCTTGATGAAGTTCCAATAGCTCATTTTTACTTTGGTTTCCCTTGCCTCCAAAGATACAGCTAGTAAGAAGTTGCTATGGCCAACGTCAAAGAAGTCGCTTCCTGTGATCTCTATGATTTTGATGGTTTCCTGTTTCACATTTAGGTCTTTCAACCATTTTGAATTTATTTTTTTTGTACGGTGTAAGAAAGTGGTCCAGTTTGATTCTTTTGCGCATTGTTGTCCAGTTTTCCCAACACCATTTGTTGAAGAGACTATCTTTTTTCCCTTGATATTCTTCCCTGCTTTGTCAAAAATTAGTGGACCATACAGTTGTAGATCCATTTCTGGGTTTTCTTTTCTGTTCCATTGATCTATACGTCTGTTTTTGTGCCAGTACCACATTGTTTTGATCACTAAGGCTTTGTAGAGTATCTTGATATTTGGGATTGTGATACCTCCATTTTTGTTCTTTATCAAGATTGCTTTAGCTATTCGAGGTCTTTTAATTATAATTTTGGTTATTTGCAAACAAAATTTGGTCAGTTCATATACTGGAATACTGTAAAAAAAAGTCTATAATGTGGGGCGCCTGGGTAGCTCAGTGGGTTAAAGCCTCTGCCTTTGGCTCAGGTCATGATCTCAGGGTCCTGGGATCGAGCCCTGCATGGTGCTTCCTCCTCTCTCTCTCTGCCTACTTGTGATCTCTGTCAAATAAATAAATAAAATCTTTAAAAAAAAAAGGCTATAGTGCACTATGGGTATATGCACCAACCTGGATGAATCTCAGAAACATAATGTTGGACAAAAAGGTAAGAGTATATTAGACATGGAGTCTGAAATCAAGTAAAATTTAATAATACATTGGTAAAATCATAAAGAAAAGCAAAGAAATGGTTAACTGCAATTATAAGATAGTTGCAGTGAAGGGCTGGGATACAAACTGTAAGAGATAAATGAAGGCTCAGGACATCTCAAAGGTACTGGTAATATTCCATTTCTTATTCTGAGTGGTGGGTATAAATAATTACACTTATTAGTCTTTAAATTGTTTGTGGGTACTCTATTGTTTATATGCTGTATTTCACAATATACATTTTAGAAATGCAGCTCTAGTTCTATCCATTAAGCCGTATCTTTCATTATAATTTTCATCCTCCTGCCTGTCTGTCTCTAGGAGGTGAGGAAGAGGCCAATACACAGGAAGAAACTGAGATGAGAAAAAGAAGGACAATATGAAAAAGAATCCTTTTGTACTGCCTGAAATGATTGTGGCTGAAGTCAGTACTACCTTATTCTTTTCATACCCTGTTTTCATACTATGATTTATACTATCTTTTTTTCTGAATTAGGTTTCTATCACTATCAATAATTTTGAATAATATTCTACATTTTTTTGTATATTATTTATCTCTCCCATTAGTCTATAAATCTCATGGAAACAGGGACTCTTGTTTTCCTTGTTCACTACCAAATTTCCAGTTGCCTAGAATAGTGCCTGGCATATAAGACTTTATTAGGTATTTGTTGAATGAACAATAAACAGTTAAACAGTACTATTATATATGTACTTCTTCCATCATAGTACTCATGACATTTTGTTTATCTGTATCTACCATTAGGTATGAAGACATCATTGTACTATAGTATCCAGCAAAATGCCTAGCATGTGATGGGTACTCAGTAAATACATTTAAACATTTCTCTCTGCAATGCAATCCTAATTTCAAACAACCCTTCATTTGAAAGAACTATTTAGAATTGATTTGATCATTAAACCCACCTGCCTAAAACCTCCCGGTAATCATAATGGTAAACTTGTATGGTGCTCACTATGTGGCCAGGCACAATTCTGAGTGTTTTTTACATACGAATTCATTTACTTCCCATAACAATCCTATAGAGATTAAATCATCCTCATTTTGCAGATGATGAAACAGACACACAGTAAGTAATTTGCCTAAGATTACACAGCTAGCAGTGGTTAAGCTAGGATTTGAACCTGCATCAACTGGCTCTATAGTCTATGCTCTTGACTATAATCCCATACTGCCTCCAGTGGATCTGTAAAGTCTATGGAGTAAAATCCAAAATCCTTAGGCTGTAAATGAGGTTTCTCAAAACTTCATCTCCAGGACCTTTCCCCCACCATTTCCCTTTATGAACCCTAGCTCCCAAACATTATAACATTTTTACTGAACATGTTACTTACTTTCATACCTGCAAGCCTTTGAACATAGAATGAATGTCCTTTGTTCTCTTTCCTCCTGGCAAACTTCTATTCCTTTCTCAAAATCCAACTAAAAATTTCTTCTCTGTGAAGGCTTTCTCAATTTATGCTCCCTTGTCTGCATTTCCTCAATTCTGTGGCTCTTACCACATTATGATGCAATTTTTAGTTTATATGTTTTTCTTCTCTACTAACTTTGGGCTCATCTAGATCTGAATTCATATCTTATTTATGTAGCCTCAGTGCCAAACCTAGTGTTGTCATATTTAAGGCACTTGAAAAATATTTGTTCAATAAATGAACACTGAGTTCAACTTGAGTTCAATATTCAATATGTACAATGAAACTTTGATATTCTATCAATTTGCTGCTATTTTTTATTAATGCTATAATAATAATGATGATGCTGTAAACCACTAATATTTGTTTTAATTATACATAGTTTTACATTTCCACTGGTATCTCTCCTGTTTTACTTTGTCCATATAACACTGTTTTGACACCACATAACAGAAAGTTAACTATGTATCTGCCTTTCCCACTTGTACTACAATAAGGATACCTTATCATCCTTAACAGGGGGTTCCCAGAGCTTAGAATATACTGAAGTCTTAATAAATCTTTGTTAAGTAGTACTTAATTTCAGTTAGTTGGTTTTTTAGATTATTTGGTTTTCTGAGTTTCCTCTTATTTCCAAATCACTTTCCTCTGTTAAGCCTGGCAATTTTGTTTTGTTTTTCTTATGCCATTTTTCTTCATCTCTGTAATAATCCTAATATGAGGAGTATAGGTTCTTAGGCTAGAGATACAGAGAAGCAACTATAAAAGCAGACATTTCCTTTTAGTTTTTCATTTTCCTTTAATATAAAAACTAACTAGTTTGGGTAATTTAAATTTAGCTCCATATTACTATCTTTCAAATTGAAAACAGTGGATACTGTTTTTCAGATTTAAAGACAACAATGTTAGTGACATGGTATCAAATAAATTATTTGAAAATATTTCTATAAAACGTCATACACTACCTGTGACTGGAATCCTCCAGTATGAAAATTTCGAGAAATAAACACACACTGAGAATGAGATTTAATCTTTCCCTTTGATGATCTTTGCCTGCATCTCTTATCAATTGCTTTAAATTTGGAATTTCGAAATATTTCTCTGAAAAATATTTTATAGAGAATATTATCAAACCTGAGTTCCATTATAAATAACTAAAATTATTTCTAATAGTTATACATAAAAGTTTAAAATCAGAAATATTAATATTTATTTTTATTTTTTATTAACATATAATGTATTATTTGTTTCAGGGGTACAGGTCTATAATTCATCAGTCTTACACAGGTCACAGCACTCACCGTAGCACATACCTTCCCCAATGTCCATTACCCAGCCACCCCATCCCTCCCACCCCCTCCACTTCAGCAATCCTCAGTTTGTTTCCTGAGATTAAGAGTCTCTTAAGGTTTGTCTCCCTCTCTGGTTTTGTCTTGTTTCATTTTCCCCCACCTTCCCCTATGATCCTCTGTCTTGTTTCTCAAATTCCTCATATCAGTGAGATCATTTAAGTGTCTTTCTCTGATTGGCTTATTTTGCTTAGCATAATACCCTTTGTTCCATTCAAGTCCTTGCAAATGGTAAGATTTCATTTTTTGATGGCAGCATAATATTCCGTTGTGTATGTGTGTGTGTGTGTGTGTGTGTGTGTGTGTGTATACCACCTTCTATATCCATGCATCTATTGATGGACATCTAGGCTCTTTCCATAGTTTCCATTGTGGACATTGCTATTAACAACATTGGGGTGCAAGTGCCCCTTCAGATCACTACATTTGTATCTTTGAGGTAAATACCCAGCAGTGTATTTGCTGGGTCATAGGGTAGTTCTATTTTCAACCTTTTGAGGAAGCTCCACACTGTTTTCTAGAGTGGCTGCACCAGCTTGCATTCCCACCAACAGTGTGGGAGGGTTCCCCTTTCTCCACATCCTCACCAACACCTGTCATTTCCTGACTTGTTAATTTTAGCCACTCTGACTGGTGTGAGGTGGTATCTCATTGTGGTTTTGGTTTGTATTTGCCTGATGTGGAATGATGTTGAGCACTTTTTCATGTGTCTGCTGGCAATTTGGATGTCTTCTTTGGAGAAATGTCTGTTCATGTCTTCTGCCCATTTCTTGACTTGATTGTTTTTTGGGTGTTGAGTTTGATAAGTTCTTCATACATTTTGGATACTAGCCCTTTATCTGATTTGTCATTTGCAAATATCTTCTCCCATTCTGTCAGTTGTCTTTTGGTTTTGTTGACTGTTACCTTTGCAATGCAGATCTTTTATCTTGATGATGTCCCAAAAGTTCATTTTTGCCCTGCTTCCCTTGCCATTTTTTTTATTGTTTTATGTTAGTCACCATAAAATACATCATTAGTTTTTGATGCAGTGTTCCAAATTCATTATTTATGTACAACATCCAGTGCTCCATAAAATACGTGCCCTCCTTAATACTTACCACCAGGCTTACCCATGTCCCTACCCCCTGGCCCCAAAACCCTGTTTGTTTCTCAGAATCCAGTCTCTTTTGTGGTTCGTCTCCCCCTCCTACTTCCCCCAATTCACTTTTCTTTTCCTTCTTCTAGTGTCCTCCATGTTATTTCCTTTGTTCCACAAGTAAGTGAAACCATATGATAATTGACTTTCTTTGCTTGACTTATTTTACTCAGAGATTATGCTGAGTGCTTCCCTTGTCTTTGGCGATGTTTCTAGGAAGAACTTGCTGTGGCTGAGGTCACAGAGGTTGCTGTCTGTGTTCTCCTCAAAGATTTTGATGGGTTCCTGTCTCACATTTAGGTCTTTCATCCATTTTGAGTTTTTTGTATGTGTGGTATAAGGAAATGGTCGTTTCATTCTTCTGCATGTCTGTCCAATTTTCCCAACACCATTTGTTGAAGAGACTGTCTTTTTTCCATTGGACATTCTTTCCTGCTTTGTCAAAGATTAGTTGACCATAGAGTTGAGGGTCCATTTCTGGATTCTCTATCCTGTTCCACTGATCTATGTGTCTGTTTTTGTGCCAGTACCAAACTGTCTTGATGACTACAGCTTTATAAGAGAGCTTGAAGTCCAGAATTGTGATGGCACCACCTTTGGTTTTCTTTTTCAACATTCTTTTGTCTTTTCTGGTTCCATACAGTTTTTAGGATCAATTGTTCCAGTCTGTGAAAAAAGCTGATGGTATTTTATAGGGACTGCATTGAATGTATAGATTGCTATCAGTAGCATAGACATTTTAACAATATTTGTTCTTCTAATCCATGAGCATGGAACATTTTTCCAGTTCTTTGTGTCTTCCTCAATTTCTTTCATGAGTATTCTACAGTTTTCAGAGTACAGATTCTTTGCCTCACTGGTTAGATTTATTCCTAGATATCTTATGGTTTTGGGTGCAATTGTAAATGGGATCAACTCCTTAATTTCTCTCTCTTCTGTCTTGTTGTTGGTGTATAGAAATGCAACTCATTTCTATATGCTGATTTTATATCCTGACACTTTACTGAACTCCTGTATGAGTTCTAGCAGTTTTGGGGTGGAATCTTTTGGGTTTTCCGCATAAAGTACTGTATCGCCTGCAAAGAGTGAGAGTTTGACTTCTTGTCGATTCAGATGGCTTTTATTTCTGATTTCTGATAGCTTAGGCAGGACTTCTAGTACTATGTTGAACAGCAGTGGTGATAGTGGACATCCCTGCTGTGTTCCTGTCCTTAGGGAGAAAGCTCTCAGTTTTTCCCCATTGAGAATGATATTTGTTGTGGGTTTTTCGTAGATGGCTTTTATGATATTGAGGCATGTTCCCTCTATCCCTACACTATGAAGAGTTTTAATCAAGAAAGGATGCTGTGCTTTGTCAAATGCTTTTTCTGCATTTATTGAGAGGAGGATCATATGGTTCTTGTTCTTCTATTAATATATTGTATCACATTGATTTGCAGATGTTGAACCAACCCTGAAGCCCAGGAATAAATCCCACTTTGTTGTGATGAATAATCCTTTTAACGTACTACTAGATTCTATAGGCTAGTATTCTGGTGAGAATTTTTGTATGCATATCCATCAGGGATATTGCTCTGTAATTCTTCTTTTTGATGGGGTCTTTGTCTGGTTTTGGGATCAGAGTAATGCTGGACTCACAGAGTTTGGAAGTTTTCCTTCCATTTTGACTTTTTGAAACAGTTTTGGAAGAACAGGTATTAATTTTTCTTTAAATGTTTGGTAGAATTCCCCCTGGAATGCCACCTGGCCCTGGATTCTTGTCTGTTGGGAGATTTTTGATTACTGCTTCAATTTCCTTGCTGGTTATGGGTCTGTTCAGGTTTTTTATTTCTTCCTGTTTCAGTTTTGGTAGTTTATATGTTCTAGGAATCCATCCATTTCTTCCAAATTGCCTAATTTATTGGCATAGAGTTGCTCATAAATATGTTCTTATAATTGTTTGTATTTCTTCCATGTTAGTTGTGATCTCTCCTCTCTCATTCATGATTTTATTTATTTGGGTCCTTTTTCTTTTCTTTTGGATAAATCTGGCTAGATTATTAATTCTTTCTTATTATTAATAATTAATTCTTATTAATTATTAATTCTTATTAATTCTTTCAAAGAACTTATTCTTATTAATTCTTCAAAGAACCAGCTCCTAGTTTTGTTGATTGGTTCTACTATTCTTTTGGTTTCTATTTCATTGGTTTCTGCTCTGCTGGATTTAGGCTTTCTTTGCTGTTCTTTCTCCAGCTCCTTTAGGTGTAGAGTTAGGTTGTGTATTTGAAACCTTTTTTGTTTCTTGAGAAAGGCTTGTATTGCTATATACTTCCCTCTTAGGACCACCATTACTGCATCCCAAAGGTTTTGAACTGTTGTGTTTTCATTTTCATTTGTTTCCATGAATTTTTTAAATTCTTCTTTAATTTCCTGGTTCACCCATTTATTCTTTAGTACAATGATCTTTAACCTCCATGTATTTGAGTTCTTCCCAACTTTCCTCTTGTGATTGAGTTTCAGTTTCAAAGCATTGTGGTGCAAAAATGTGCAGGGAATAATCCTGATCTTTTGGTACTGGTTGAGATGTGATTTGTGACCCAGGATGTGATCTATTCTGGTGACTCTTCCATGTGCACTAGAGAAGAATGTGTATTCTGTTGTTTTGGGATGGAATGCTCTGAATGTATCTGTGAAGTCCATTTGGTCCAGTGTGACATTTAAAGCTTTTATTTCCTTGTTGATCTTTTGCTTAGATGATCTATTTCAGTGAGGGAGGTGTAAAAGTCCCCTACTACTCTTGTATTATTGTTGATGTGTTTCTTTGATTTTGTTATTAATTGGCTTATATAATTGGCTGCTCCCATGTTAGGGGCATAGATATTTACAATTTTTAGATCTTTTTGTTGGATAGACCCTTTAAGCATGTTATAGTGTCCTTCCTCATCTCTTATTAGTCTTTGGTTTAAAATCTAATTTGTCTGATATAAGGATCACCACCCCAGGGTTTTTTTTTTTTTTTTAATGTTCATTAGCATGGTAAAAGGTTTTCCACCCCCTCACTTTACATCTGGAGGTGTCTTTGGGTCTAAAATGAGTCTCTTGCAGATAGCATATCAATGAGTCTTGTGTGTGTATGTGTGTGTGTGTGTGCGTGTTTAATCCAATCTGATAGCCGTGCCTTTCAACTAGGGCATTTAGCCCATTTACATTCAGGGTAACTATTGAAATATATGAATTTAGTGCCAATTGTATTGCTTGTAAGGTGACTGTTACTGTATATTGTCTCTGTTCCTGTCTGGTTTATGTTACTTTTAGACTCTCTCTCTCTGCTTAGAGGATCTCTTTCAATATTTCTTGGAGGGCTGGTTTGGTGTTCGCAAATTCTTTTAGTTTTTCTTTGTCCTGAAAGACTTTTATCTTTCCTTCTATTTTCAATGACAGCCTAGCTGGATCTAGTATTCTTGGCTGCATAATTTTCTCATTTAGCACTCTGAATATATCATGCCAGTCCTTTCTGGCCTGTCAGGTCTCTGTGGATAGGTCTTCTGCCAATCTAATGTTTCTACTGTTGTAGGTTACAGACCTCTTGTCCTGAGCTACTTTCAGGAGTCTTTTTTTGTCTCTGAGACTTG